ACCGCAGTGGCTGGCAATCGCGGCAGTGTCAGAGCGTGCGAATGGTCGGAGGAGGAGGCGCGGAGTTGTGATGCTCGAGACGGCGGTGGTAGCCATTACATCCGGAGCGAGAAAAAAGAAAAATTATCTGTAGTGTTAGGGCCGCCGCGGACAGTGGCCACCTCGTAGACAGCGGACAGGTTCGGCACCGGGCACCGCCTCGGTATACAAAATGCGCCTGCGGGCGGACCCTTACAGATCACAGATCACTGCACTCCAAGTGCTCCAAGTGCCATCCCTCTTGCTTTGCCAACAGCACACACCTGAAACCCACACAACTCCCCGACCTCGGATCCCCTTTTAGCTAGTCGGTTAAGACCCTCTTCTGATGGGGGGCAGCGGGTGGGGGAGACCCGTTTACACCAATAGCCCTGAACTGTAGTCTATCCACCCCAGACTCGACACCTACTTTACTACCCCGCGCCAACGAGATACCGAATTGCCGAGGTTGTCCTATTAGGCGTTCCCGGAGAACGCCGACCTGGTTGGGGTCGTACGGGCGACGCTCCACATGCGTTGCTCCGCCCCCGAGTGCGACGTTCTCGCACGGCTCTGTGTCGTGCGGGCGCCGCGTGGGCTCGGGCTTCTTTCCCCCGACTGCCTCTCCGCTCTGGGCGGAGGCACGTCTCTCAACCTCTGCGAGGCGATCGAGCGCGTCGATTTCAAAGAGAACCGCGTCGCCGGCGTCGGCACCGGCCCGCGGGCCGCCCCTTTGGACGACCGCCCGCGGCGGGTCGACCTCAGACTCGGCGGCATCGGCTGCAGAGTGCACGCCGGAGACCGGGTGCGGCTGCAGGTGTGCTCGGCGGCTCACCCGAGGGCGATGCGCCACCCGCTGCAGGCGCCTGGGGAGGACTGGCTGGGCGAGGGTTCGCTCGGCTCGCCCGCTACCCTCGAGCTCGTCTCCGACGCCGAGCACCCCTCGTGCGTGCAGCTGCCGGTGCTCGACGTCGAGCTAGCGCGTTGGACGTCAGTGGGCCGGCTGGGCCGAGGCGATGTGCTCGAGACCGAGGGGGGGGGTCTTCGCACGTGGGTGCGCGACTCGATTGACAGGCGGTCCACAGGGTACAGCGGAGCGGAGCGGGGCAGCGGCGGCTTGAGTGCTTGAAAATGGACTGAACGAGACCAGCGATATGTGGTCCGCG